GCGTGTGTTTTTTGCTGCTGATGATACACTGACAACTCTGGAGCGTGGTGGAGCTGGGAGAGCGGAGGCTAGAGTTCTATTTTCAGCCGGTTAACGCTTACTCTTCTTCCCTCAGTTTGAAGTAGTGCACATAAAACCACCTTTCATCCTTTGTCTTTAGGGTTGTCTTTTAGCACTAGGTGAATGGTTTTTTTCTGTTGTAAATTAAAATGATGTGTTCTCCTTTAAGGAATGGTTATGTGGTTTTCTTCCTAGTCAGGTATTTAAATACATAAACATATACGTCTGTCTTCTGAGTTTGCTCTGACTTAAGTTTTCCAGTTCTCTGATGATCTTGGTTTGAGCCCAGTTCATACACGTGTTCCTAGAGACTTATAACATGGAATGTGTGGTACAAGCTGTCGGCTGTTATTTTCAGTAACTTGAAGAGAGGTGGCATCTATATTTCACTCCTGAAATCAAGATCCAAAATGGGACAGTTAGCCACATCTATTTTCTTTGCTGAAGTAAAGATTGTCTCTTGACTCTGCACCCACTCTCTCACGGAGAGCTGAGAATACTAGTCAGGCAATTACCTTTGTGAATTCAAAAACATTTCATCTCTGAAGTAAAAAAATGTAAAAACCAAAATATTTTAATTTTCCTTTCTGAACTAGATTTTTGGGAAGCTGCTTTTGGCCCTCTGGGCTTTTCTCTGACGGGAGGAAGCCCCCTCACCCCAGTTCTGCCTTCAGCCAGCTCATGGTCACCCCCCTAAACGTGCTACCTTGATAACCAAATACAAATACCATGAAGAAAACCACCCAGGCCCTCCCGTATGAGAGGATTTTTATCTCTAGTCTCAACCACGGCGCCATAAAATCACCTGCGCCTTAATTCCGCTGCCCACAGCCTGAGGAGGGCACATCTGAGCGGCCATTTTGAGACTGAGGGTCGGCAAAGGAAGGGAATGGGGACGGCGCCCAGGCTGCTGGCTTCTCCGCCACAGGATCCCCGAGGCGGCGCTGAGATAAAGCGGGCGGCTCCCAGAGGGATCGGGTCGCAGCCGCGGGACGGCCCCTTCCCGCAGAGGAGGCTGGAGAAGGAGCGCGTCGGTTCCCCTCACCGTGAGAGAGCAGTTTCTCTGGAGAGGCAATAACCGGTGCGCGTCCTGCTGAGGTAAAAAGCCGCTCGCCGCCGAGTTGTGGAGAGTTGATAGAGGCAAGAATGGTCTTCGGAGCAGACCTGCGCAGGCGGCAGAGGCCGGTCGGGGCGCTCAAGGGCCCCCTCGTTTCCCGCCACGGAAAAGCAGGTGGCCGCATGCGGCGGCCATTTTGTCGGCGCGCCACAGGACCCGCGCCGCTGTCGCCGTCGGGGAGATCCGCTGCCGCCGTCGGCCTCGCTTTCCGTCGCCACACGGAAAATCCGGGCGGGGGGAATGACATGGCCCGTCCTGGTTTTGGAAAGATGGCCCTGTTGTCGTGGTGCAGTTGAACTTAAAGGGGCTGCTCTGTGAGAGTTGGAGGCAGTATTTTCACGTGAAGGACGGATTTGTGGTACTCGGGCTTGGAGTCTGCGATAAAGGGCTCCACTTTTCTCCATTAAAGCACCCACGGTGGTTTTTTTCAGTCAAATAGGTATATTGAGGGTTTAAAATTCTCCATGGTGTGGAAAGTACTACTGCAGCTACCTCTTGACCTACACGGTAGTCCTGTGTCTCCAGAGGACTAATCACCCAGGAGAATGCAAATAAAACCCCATCAAATTCCATCCAGCTCAAAACTACCCCTGAGTAATAACTTCTTAATTTTTCCTTTTTTTTTTTTTCCTTTTCCCCTGAGGTAAAGCTTCACAGACTAGTTCCCAAAGGGCCGTTAGTAGCAATCCCACTCCCAAAACTAGACATACAAGTTTAGACTTGCCCACCTTGAGCTCCCCCCAGACTTAGTTTTACTTTTCTTTTGGGTATAACTCCACAAGCACTTTGTGCAGAGAAAGTCTGTTTGGCCTTAATCGAGCAGATTGGGACAGACAACTTACGTAGATCAAGGGAGATGTTTATAGAAAGCTTGCTTTCACTGTTCCTTGTAGAAAAATTCTGTATCTGGAAACATTGTAGGAAAGTGACAGTGCATATGATTTAACATTTAATTGTTGTTGCAAAATTTAACAGACAATGTTAATAAGTACTTATAAAAGCCTGCATCTGTGTTTTCCTGACAAGACAAAGCGTAGGTCTTGAAAAAGCAGAGAAACTATCTTCTTCAATATCCTTTAGTTCCTCCTGCAGTATTAAAGTTAGATGGGCAAAATTCATTTTTATTACATGAAGTTGATTATTAATATATTAGAAAATAAGGACAGATCTTTCTCTTCACAGGTGCTGTTACGATGAGCGAGACTATCCAGGAATTAAAGGTAGCGCACAGGTTTTGTTTGTTAGAGAAATTCCCATACCTGCCATCTGTCGGTACACTCACCGAAAATGTAAGCCAAGAGATTCCTAAGGTGTAGTCTGTTATATTAATGTGACAGAAAAGATGTGAAGAGAAAATTTAAGGATAAGGGTGCCCAAGACACGCTACTGTGAAGGGTGAATTACACTGATCAGTTGTAATTTGTGTGCCAGGATGATATCTTCATTTCTGTCCACAATGGAATGAGTTCTTCCTGCTGGCGATGGGATCTCTGCACAAATAGCAGGCTATAGTACTGCCCTTTGATAATGGAATTGCAGGGGTCCAGGATTCTGCCTACTATTATATTCAGAATCATTCAGCATTGGAAAAGTGATAGTTGTGATATTCAGTCATTTAACTGTTTTGGATGATTTATTTCTTTTTTCCCCAGAAGGTGGTGCATGGATTTAGTGGGTTTTATACACAGTTGTGTATGTAATATTTGAAAGTTTCTCCCAAGAAGCATCATTAACGAGTTCGAAAATTAATGGCCAACTGAGAAGAACGGGGGTGGTGTTTTTCTTTCTAAAGCTTTCGTTTACTGACTCCCTGAGGCTCTGATGGATCAAACCAAAGTGTCATCTCACCACTGTGCTCATTGCAACAGTGTGTAGTGGCAGATGCACAGAAAAATGGTCAGGAAAAAGTGGTATTTTTGCTTAGGGAATTAGAATGTAAAGACTTACTGAGTCTGAATGTCTGTCCCAGCTGTCAAATTTATTAGTCCTGGGGGTCTGTCTGGTAATTCTTTTAAACTGTTTATGCATTTAGGTTATATTCCACAAAACAGGGCCTTCTTCCCACTTTCAGGGTAACAGACTCCTCAGGATGCTTTGCCCCGTGCTGTGCAGCTCTGCTTTCATCTGTGTCCTCTAATCCTTTTCATCAGTAATGTTATCGAATGAAAATCCAGGTTTATCGGGATGCATTAATACAAATGCAGAGAGGCAGCATAACAAGTGCAGCGCATAGACACAGGGACTTGTTGCATTTTGAAAAAAAGTGCTGTGTGGACAGAAATCAACTGTGCATGTTGTAATTGGGTCATTTGTGAATGTCACAGTCCTGCTATGCACACAGAACGGTACTGATGCTAAGTGACAGGGAGCTGCTTTCCTTGCTGATGTTGTATTCCTTCCTCGACTGTAGACTTGCCACTTAGGATATTTTTCCATAATTCCAGATGCCTCTTTGTCCCTCAACTCTTTTTTTTCTTCATGTTTCCTCTTAGCTTTCTTCTGTTTGCAGCTTATCAGTGAACTGCCAAAACTTGCATAATAGTCTCTTCTCCTTTGGTCAGGAAAATTCCTTTTACCTTTTTTTTTTTCCTCCTTATTCTTCTACTTTCTTTGCACACCCCACCCCCACCCCCTGCCCCTGAATGTAGGAAATTATCTGTTACCTGATTGATTCCAATAAAATAAGATGGTGTGAATCGGCACAGGTTTCCTTTCTTCTGTGCTCGAGGTTTTACATAACCAAAAACTTCCTCTGATTGTACAAGTTTTCTGAGATGTTTCTTATTATGCCTGCAAATGAAATATTTGAGAGATTTCTGTGGTTTTGATGGACCATACAGTTAGAGTTTTGTGTCAGTAAGGTAGTATTTTACTGGCCAGAAGAAAAAATGTGTAAATAAAAAGAAGTCCCTTTTCAGAAGATAAACCAATTTAGTTCTGTTTGTTTGGTGGAGTGTTATTTTACTTGCTTGGACTTTATACATTATGCCTGCTAGTGGCAAAACAGGATAGCTCAGTGGAGCTGCAGCAGTTGGAAGATGCAGTGCTGCATTGCGAAATGAAGGTACAAACCAGGAAAATTGAACAGCGTTACCGAATAAATTACTTAGTTTCGCTTCTCTTTTCAGTTGGCTTCACTTCTCTTTTCAGTTATTCAGGTTGCATTTGTGATGCAGTGCAGTTGGATACTCTTCTGCCTTCAGTCCTGCTTTCTATGTAGTACCTGTTTCCGTGTGCTATTCTGCAGGGAGGCACTGGAAAGATAAACAAAAGAGGCTCTGGAAGTCCATGAAGAAGCCACCAAATTCCCAGTGGAATCAATGATGCATTCTTTGAGTCATGAGGAATGTTCACCAAGCGGCAATATGCCTAGCATGAGCAAGCATTAAACAGATTTCAGAACAAAATTTGGGAGTAAATCAGTATGAACATTGCAGACTACTATGTGATTTAGAAGGGTGCTCATAAGTTCATGTTTCAAGTTTAATCTTCTTTAGGACCTGCACCTCCAATAGCTCTTTTTGACGTAAGCCCAAGGTCAAGGCAGAGCAGTTTTGAAGTGTTCTCCTCTGAACACTGGCATTCCCCACTCAGTGTGCAACCCTAGAATTGTCGGGGCTTGTTGTCCTTGGGAAAAACGATTCCTAGGTTTGACTATGGATGGATAGGCACTGAGGGGCACTAATGCCCAGTTGGTACAGATGACTGCTTATTCTCATGTAACAACTCTTGTTTCAACACTTAATTTATCTGCCTTTCAGGTGTTGCTAGCCCATGTCTCGACAACCAGAATGTTTTAGCTTCCTTCAATCTCAGCACAGCGATGGAAAACTCAGCCTCTAGTACTGGTAGCAGTCCACCCAATAGTCTCTTCTCTTCCAAATGTGAAATACATACTGATTCTGAGAAAAAAAACATGAGTAGTGCTGGCAAAGAACACGTGGAAAATGTTCTGGAAGAATACTCGCAGGAAAGTAGGGATGTGCAGAACAGGCTGAATGAAGTGAGTGGCAAATTTGGGGCAGCTTTTTAAGTATAGATGAACTTTTATTGTTTTTGTCATTGCTGAGTTTTTGCCAGTGCTATTTTGGGTAGCCTCTTGGCTGCTGTAGATTGTACTTGGCCATCATGATTCCCACATGTCATTTGACAGACAAAAATAGGCAATGGGTAATAATGTTGCTGGCACGATCCCTGTAACAGTGTTCCATGCATAGTCAGTCTACCGCAGCATAGTGTGACTAGCTGATTAACTGAGAAATATTAAAAAAAAAAAAAAAAACCAAAAAAAACCAATAGAACTTAAAAAAACCCCTGCAAACCTCTTAATTCCCATACCCATGCTTCTCTCAGCCTCTTTTTTTTCAAGTTACGTGTTCAGTATTCCGGTTGGTTTAGGATGGCTAGTTGTTTTTTTTTTTTCCCTTTAGACCACTGAGCTACATGAACAACAGAAAATCAATTTAAGAATCATTGCTGATTTGCAGACCAAACTGATGGAAGTGCAGTTGGAAAGAGATGTGCTTCAGGATACCAGGTATGAAGGGCTAGACAGATGTATTACATCTGTGTAGGCAGAGTGTATATGTGGGCTTTGAGAGGCACACCAGATCTCCTAAGTGAGAAACTCGCCCTCAGGAATGAAGACAATGACAATATGGCACCTTGGTTTAGAAAATGGCTTATTTTGTAATTGTAAACAGCAGCAGTTAATCAAGATGGGTATTAAACCTATCAGTCAGGATAAAAACCTGTGATGTAAATCCCGTTTTTTAAATTATTTCTTTGGTTTCTAAATTCAGACAAAAGGAATCCCAGAGCCAAGAGAATATAAAAATACAGCTAAAACATACTATTCAAGAGCTGGAAGCTGCCAACCAACTGCAGGAGGAGATGCTGAGGGAGGCTGACAGCCAAACTGAGCATTTGAAAAAGATGGTACACAGCCATGAGGAAGTACTTCTGGAGCTACGTGGCATCCTAATGGACTACAAAGACAGCACAGGCAAGAAACTATATGAGCACGAGAGTATCACTAGCCTACACATCCACAACTTGAGCACAGCATTTGCTGACGTCCTGCAAGTTTTAGACTCAGAGGTGTCATACCTCAAAGAAAAGGTTGTCCTGGTACGTGAAGAAAGTGCTACTTTTCCTTCAAACAATCTGTGTTCTTTTTTTTTAGAAAATATTTTTGAAAATAACATGAGCTCCAATCTAAACTGGCCTAAGGAAAAGGTTATGGCATAAGGAGGTACAAATGCTGCTTTGCAGTTAAGATGGCAGATTGCTGGTATGCCAGCCTTTTATGCCGTCCCCAACTTGAGATTGGTTTTATTGCTGGAATTTCATCTGTATCGTGCACATTTTCACAGTTGAAGGTGGAAGCAAAAGGAAGGGAATTACACATGGAAAACTACCATTTATACATTCTTTTCTTTAGTGGTTAGCATTGTGATCTGTTTACAATAGGTGGAAGAAGAACTTCAGTCATTGAAAATAGATTCACAGACCCAAAAACAACTTCTGCTTCAGCAACATCAAAATAGGTATCTGGTTTCCATTTATTTATTCATAAAATACAAATTGATGTTTTTTCACATTCCACAGCGAATTCTTTTCTGATGATGGATATTGGGGGGAAGTGTCTGGAGGGCAGCAAGCGATGTTTTTGAGCACTTAATTGTTCATTCCAGGTGTTTATTTGCGCTTGATTTCCTGCTTCTTTTTCCTTCCATGCTGTCAATTTCCTGTTTTATTCACTGCCTCAAAAAAATACTATTTTTCGAAGCATCTGTACATCTTACTTTTCTAAGTGTGATTGGTCGCTTAGGTGGACATCTAGAATTTGTTGGGAGACTAGTTCCACCATTAAAAGAGAAGAGTGAAAGTTATCACTTTAATGGTTACATCAGCTTTTTCTTACTAATTTCACTAAGAGCTTTGTCCTCCCTTCTTCAAGAAGTCCTAATTTCCCCAGCTATCCACCTGAATTATACAGTAACCTGTTCAAAAAAAAAAAAGGGTCAATAACGCAATACATAATATTTCATTCACAGTAGAACATCAAAATGATTACATTTCTGACTATTGGAAAATATCATTACTTTTTCAGTGGAGAAGTTATTATTTGATGAGACTGAAATTATAACCAGTGTTTTCTTTTTGAAATGGGATCAAGCAGCTAATAAGTGAGCATGAACAGGAGGTGGCAGCACTAACTAAAAAAGCTAACAGGGCACGCAGCTATGAAAATAGTATGCGAAGCCAGGTGGAGATCATTCAGTATGCTTTTTGATTGCAGTGTAGAAAATGTTAAGAGTAACCTTAATTTGAGAGAAAGCTTATGCTGCTAGTATACTCTCTGCCCTATGCTTTTGATTTCTTAGTGTCTTTGTTTAAAGAGTTAAGTAGTCCTTGCATAAATTATGGAATGAACAAGAAAAAGGGGAAAAAATAAAAAAACCCATTAAATCATGCTATATAGAGGAGCGGCAGACTAGCCATGCATTAGGCAGACTCTGAGCATCGGGACACTCAGGCTGGATCTCTTCTCAGACTTCTGTGGTTCAGAAGAAGAGTAAGGCCAGCAAAGTCAGTGGAAGTTCAAACTGGCTGAAGCTGTCAGCTCTGTTCACACCACTAGCTTCTGGAACAATGGATTTCTGTTATCTGAGTTGTAAACAGTTTCTGCAGAGTACATGACTCGAGTTAAGGGATGGAAGAGAATGTAAGCTAAAAGCTGTGGCTGAGTGTACTTTTAGGTGGCTGCATTGCACCAGACCTTTGCCTTCTAAATGTTCTGCAGGTTCAAATACAAAATTCATTTCCAGCAGCATATTGGTTAAGTCACGCAGAAGAATGGGTAAACAGTTGGGTTGTTTGCATACATGTACAAATAATAATGAACAGTAATTTTAAAGAAAGGGTATTTTTCATTTGGGATAAATAGCTATGTTGGTACTGTTGACTTTGGTAACAATTGAGGGAGAGTAAAAAGACCCTAATTCTCACCACCCATTTGATGACTCGGAAATCAGTGCGCAGTGTATCAATTAAAAAATGAGGACATGCCATGCAGTGTTGCAAACTTAAGATGAGATTTAAATATCTGTATGCATTAATATGTGACAAGCTTCAGTTGAGACTGAAGAGCTGATAGCAAAATGCTTTTCAGTTCTGCTTGTAGAATAGTTGGGGTGCGTTTGAAAGCAGACTTAGCTTTCTTAACCCATTTATTCTCAGGCAAGTTCTATCAGGAGTAAAAAGCATCAAGATTTCAATTTATGTAATTTTATGTAAGGTAGATATCAGAGAGGAAATCTAACCAGTAAGAAGGTGTAATTTTTATGTGATCCCGCTATAAAAGATAATTATACTTGAAAGCAGTAAGTTTCAGTGGTCATACTAATCGCAGTGAAATCAAATACATACGTTTCATGCTTTCGTGGTTCTTACAGTTTCTGATTTCTCCACCTAAAACTTTCTAGAGAACAACCAAGTTCAGTGCATGCATGTCAAGTCAGTCACCTGGAATCTACGGTTTCTCATCTACGTTCTGAATTACGAGAGGCTAAGAGAATGTATGAAGACAAGGTGTGTATGGATCTGTGTGTTAGTGTTAGTGCCAATGAAACTGGATATGTGGATATATGAGGTGTTCTGGATAAGGGAAGGGTTTTCATAAGGGATTGCTTCGGAAAAAGGAGAAAAAAGAAGAAAAGGAAAAAGAAAACCTATTGTTTCATAGGTTGGCCTGTTGGTGGGGAGGGAGTTATATTGGTTTTGGATTTTTGGCAGGCTGAGCTTTGACACATTCTTTGGTGGTGGCTGCTTGAGGGTCCACAGTTTGGCGGGGTGGGGGGCAGTTATCCACTGGTGGACGTTGTGTTCTTTTTTAAAGGAGCTATGTCTCCTTTAAATTTCTCGTAATTTGCTTCATAGGGGTTGGTAGGTGTCTGTAGAGGGAAATTAAGGGGGAACTTGGATTCATTTCACAGGCCACCAGCTATGACCCAGCTTGGTTGACTTTTCACCTCTCACCTTTTCACCTTATTTTCCACTGTGTGGACAATAAGATAAATTACATTATCCTTAATATCCTTTGTATTACTTTTAAGAACAAGTTATCTTTCTCTACCACAAAATAGCTTTGCAAAACTTACTGAAGACAAAATAGTTTTGCCAGATGTATTGAGAATATACCATTAATGATGCCTTCTGGAAATACGTGAAATGATTCTGCACTGTAAACATCGCTTGCACATGCACAACAAGAACATTGTTTCACTATACCACCAGAGAATTTATCAGCAAAAACAGGGCAGTAAAAATAGCTTCTTATTTAAGTCGTACTACCCAGAAAAATTCTTCGGTAACTTTTATTTTGATAAGTGCAAGGGTGGGAGAACATAAAGACTACAGCAGTGCTTAAGAAGCATTCAGGTGCTCAGAGATGCCCCATTGGGAGTTAAGAAACTTTAACATTCATTGAAATCAAAAGGCTTTTTATCAGCCGGATATAATACAGGCAAACAAGACAGGCTGGCCAGCATCTGTATGTTCAAACCATTTCTTCAGTCTTGGCAAACTTTTTTAACCATGCTTCTCCCCGAAGACCAACTCTTTTCCAGGTAGTACAGCAGGGAATTACTGCAGACAAATGGAGAGAACTTCTTGCAGTCCCAGCACAGAACCTCTGCCACATCATTAACTGCAGCATTTTATATCCTGTTTCTATATCACATCTGCTGCATCTTTCACTTATTTCACTGCTTTGGATTCCTATTTTACAAACAATTTTATTATCTTTAAATTCTTTCGTAGTTTTGGAAAATTATCGAAAACAGTTGCACTCTGCTCCCTTTAAGAATTAGCAGAGATGACCCATGCAGAAATGCTTGATGGATCCAAATCCAGCTTAGATTACAAGTCATGAGGTTTTAGGCATCCTTCTCCTACATACTATTGGAAGGGGAAAGTTCAGGTCACGGGAGTGCTGTGAAGTTTGGCAGAGCTGATAGTCTCCTGATCCAAAAAGGTCTGAGAATGGAATAGCAGGGATGTGCAGGTCAAGCCTGTGGAGCCGTGCTGTATGTGTACTTGCACTATAAATCACAGCAGGAAGGACATTTCTGTAGTTCCATTTTTATCAGTTCCATGGATTCACATGTATCAAAACTCACACTAGTCAGTTCCAAAAGGAACTTCTCACAGCATACTAACTGAACTATGGAGAATTTGTCAATTAATCTCCATTACTGTATTTCATCCTTAAGGAAGAGTATAAGATACAGTATGCTTTTCCTGTAGATCACTTTACCCGAATTCTTTTGATTTAAAACGTGCAGTGCACAGCATAAGATCATATCACATACGTAGCTGTAACTAGTGTATATCCTTAGGTGTGTTCCCTTTCGTAATGTTTCTGTCATGACAGATGTAAAATTGGGAACTGGGAATCCATTTAAGGCTGTTTTTCACAGTCTACCAACTCCAGAAAATGTTGCGTTTATATATCTATAAAAGAACATGCCTCTTGGTCCAATAGAATTTGCTTTTGGATAGGAAGTGTAATACACAGAATTGCTAAGGTAGACTTCAGTGAGAGACAAGTTAATAGCTGGAGATCATTTGATCTCAGTCTGTTACATGGAGTCATTCCTGGGAAGGTGTGAGAGAGAATCTAAATAAAACTTTTACTACTGTATGTCTCTCTTTTACAACAAGCATTTCTCCACAGCTTCTCTTATAGGAAAACCCCTTAGCAACGAAGATTTTCAAGGCAGTAGGTAAAAACTGAGGCTAGTGTAACTTGTTGATAATCGATAGTTTCAACAGTCAGAAAATCTGGTGCTTAACTTAGTGGATATAAATGTAAATACCTAAGTGTTCTGTTTGGATATGCCTGTGTTGATATCTTTACTAAAAAGCATTATAGATGGGTCCGTCATCTCATACAGTGCCAGAAGTTGCATCCTTTCAGAGAAAGTGACTACTGTTAGGAGCATAACATGTTTGCCTATAGATTTCCTTATGTATTCATAGTGAAAGAATGTACCTCCCTGCCTTAGCTACGTAAAACCTGCTGTTAGGCCTAGGTGCGTCTCAAGAACTTCACTGTATCATTAAATGCAAAGTGAATATGGCTAAATATACACTTGGGACCAAATTCTCCTTAAATTAACTTAATTGTACAGGAAAGGCCCTGTGTGAGGACAGCTCTTTTTGTCACTGTCTGTGAAAGCCCTATTGAAAATGTTGTAGACAATCACTGAGCTCCGTAGAGGGTGTATTTCAGGCTTAGATTTTCTGTGGAAATAGGGCGTAGTTGTGTAAGGAGGGCTGCAGGGAGAAGTAATCTAGGATTTGCTGAGATTTCTCCTTCTGATGAAGGGCTCCACAAGATGAGAGAAATCCTTTTCAAAAAGGACCTCAGGCAATTACAGGAAGACAAGGCCCTGATAATGTTCTTCTCCTGCTTAGGCATTGGAGCTCTACTGATTTTATGCAATTTTGGGGAAGAAAAACTTCATAAGAAGATCTTCAGAACTTTCCTTGACAGCACACTCTCATATCAACCTGATGTTCCCAGCCCCCATTTAGTGAAGGAAGTGAGGTTTTGGGACTAGCCCTGCATAAATGGTCCATTACTAATAGAAAAGAATTATGTCCTCATTATAATCCGATGAATGAAAGAGGAGGTGAGGGACAGAAGAGGAAGGGGAGAGATTATTGCTTTTGTCACAAGTTGAAGAAACATTTTTAAGGAAGTAGCAAGGAAGTGCCCAGATTTTTATGTTAGCCAAAGGAGAGATTGCAGATCATAAAGTGTTTATTAGAAGAGCACTGTAAGAGATTTTGTGTATTTTCTCATTGAATGAGAAAATACAATTCCGTATAAATTGCGTTTTACTTGTACTTGCATTATATTGGCTTTTCTACTAGTAGTACTGCAAATGAAGCAAGGAGCTTGAACTTTTTTTTGAAAGTGGCTTTTCTCCCATTCCAGTCAATTTTTACGGTGTAGGTAAGGAATTTTGGAAGAGCTGTGGATCAGGGTGGGAGCCAATTCATTCTCAGAAATCTCAGTTAACTCTGCAGTGAAATTGAGCTTAATCACTAAAAGACGACAATAAAATACGAATACACCTAGAGAATAACTGCTGAGCCAAAGATGACATTTGGACTTTTTTCGAGTAGAACCTAGAAGAAAACTGGAAGAAATCTAATGTACTATTTAAAATATAATACTTTAAGATGATTCTTACTGAATGTTTGTCTCTTTTCTAGGTTGAAGATCTTGAGAAGCAGTTGCACCTAGCTCATTCCGAGATGGCAGAAGCTCAGACAGAACAGGATCAACGCAACCAAGAATCTGGAAATCTGAAGAACCAGATTCATCAATTGTTGGTAAAAACAAGTGATAATACTGAAAAAAATCTTGCTTTCTAAAAGCCTCTCCTTAGTGCTGGTGTTCAGATTTGCACATTGCTTGTTTCCAAACTGCAGCAGGCCTCTTACAATTAAGTTTGAGGATTATTTTTTACTAGAAATTTGAATTAGCTGTGAATAAAGTTTCCCAAAGGCCTTTGCCATTAGCAATGCAGGCCATTCAGAATTAAGATTAACTTTGTCATAAATTCAAAATCCTTGAATCCTATGCAAATCATATTAAAGGTGCTGAGCCACCTTCACTTTAACCTCACAGTTTACATCCCTCTGTTAAGGAACCTTGGTCCCTTAACACATATTTTGCAAGACATATGCAGGATTTTCCTAGCAGCACTAAACATTCCTTCGTAACTGATTGGGAATATTCACAGATTGAACAGTGTAAAACCCATTTACCACACAGGGCTGGTTTCATCACAGCTGCCTTTGTGTACTATAATTAACCTTGCTTTTCTTCTTACATAAGATTATTCCTTAATGACTGAATTTTGGGGTATTAGTTTGTGTGGTTTCGTTAGGTTTTTTTTCCCCAGTTAGTGTCACAGTGCTTCTGAAGGAGATGTTGAAATTATTTCTTTCCACATGGTGTTCTCTTATTCAAGAATATGTTAGTGTAAATCTTTTCCTGCAGATTGTACATAGCTATAAAGAAGACTGGAGTCAGAATAATCATTGCATAATTGAAGGTTAGGAATCTTATCTTAGGATTCCTTTTGTTTCTGTGTCTTCAGCTCATGTTTTCATTCTGCAGTTCTCTGAGCTTCCTACTTAGCTCTCTGCTTCAGCTTTAACAATAGCAAAAGTTATGCTTAGCAGAAATGCCTATTGATAATTAGTAGCTCTAAAATGTGTATGTCAGGTTTTTTAGTATTATTTACATTTTTAAATTATCATTTGTCATTTCAATTATGTACTGTTAGGATTATGTCTGATGTGGAAAAGATTTAAGCTCTGGAGAACATGTGACAAATTACTGCATGAAATGAAACGAGCAATGATCATTTCTTATTACCGGCTGTCCTGGTTTCAGCCAGGATAGAGCTGGTTTTCTTCACAGAAGCTAGTGTGAGACTGTGTTTTGGATTTGGGATGAGAAACTGTTGATAGTGTGCTGATGTTTTGGGTTGTTGCTGAGCAGTCTAGGACAGTCCAGCTTCTTGTGCTGGCCTGCCAGCGAGCAGGCTGGGGGTGCACGGGGAGCTGGGAGGGGACACAGCCGGGACAGCTGACCCAGACTGGCCAAAGAGATATTCCCTACCATACGACGTCATGCCCAGTACATAAACTGGAGTTGGCTGGGGGGCGGAAATCGCTGCTCGGGGACGGGCTGTCGATCACGGGGTGGTGAGCAATTGCTGTATTGGGCATCAGTTGTTCTTGTACATTCCTTTGTTGGTATTATCATTGTTGTTCCCTTCTTTCTTTCTGTCCTATTAAACCGTGTTTATCTCAAGCCACGAGTTTTGTTCCCAATTCTCTTCTCCGTCCCACTGCGGGAGGGGGAGTGAGCGAGCGGCTGCGTGGTGCTTAGTTGCCAGCTGGGGCTAAACCACGACACCGGCAAAGATGGGTATTTATCAAGAGCAGCCTTCCTTAGCATGTCATGTAGTGCTTCATTGTTTTTCATTTGATGTTGACACAGTATAATCTTCTTTTCATTTTATAGCTTATACTGATTTTGGGATAGATATAAATGACATGAAAGACGAGCATTGAGGTGTTAACAGGCTTCAAAATAATTATAGCAGCAATATATAAAGTTGAAAGTTACTGCTTTCTTGAAAGAAAACATGTAGGAGGTGTCAGACTAGCTTAGCCAATTTTCCTGTCTTCTGCTACATATAAATCCACGCAGAAGTCCCTATTCTCAGAGATGTGATTGTGTAATTGTTGCTAATGTTAAGAGAAAGAACAACAAAATTCTGAATGTGATTCACGGAGAGAGATGACTTTAATTTCTTGTAGACTGAAGTTCATAAAAAGGAGATAGAACTAAGTCTAGAAAAAGAGCAGAACAAGCGATTTTGGGATCGGAACACAGACAACAGCATCACCATTGACCATCTAAGGAGAGAACTGGACAACAAAAACATGCAATTGCAGCTCGTCGAAAACACAATGAAGGAAATGAGGACTGAATGCCACAGACAAACGGAGCACCAGGTTGGTGAGCAACTGCAGTTATCACAGTGTTGAGGATAGAAAGCGCACCAACTGGGGGCTCTACTTCGGCTGGAAAGGCTGTAACTGGTTACCATGCTTGGGAGGCCTCTGGAGCTCATGTGCCAAAATTTTCCTTCCAAAGATGCAGATATGTGACAATCAGAATTTGCATTATTTTCTATTAATCTGACCTGTCCAGCCTTCATTTCTCTTTACTGATGAAGAAGTGGAAGCATTATTTTTAATTTTGATTTTTGACATGCAAGCCTTAAGAGAAAAGGAATGTTCTGCTGATCGTGTGTTTCATTTTGACTGTAAACCTCCAAAACAACATTTTATACATTTTCAGTAAGTTTGATGCTGCCAGGGGTAACAAACGAAGGATTGAAGGTAGTATTTTTGTTAGTGAGCACTCTTCTAGGAAAAATCAGTAAATTAAAGGCCTTCATAATGCCTTACTTTATTTAGTGCTTACTGGAAACATAATGAAGTTTTTATGATGCTATCATACGATGAATGCAGTGCTATGTCAGAAAGAATTACTTCTGACAACGTAGGTTCCTAGACACTGACTCGTAGTACGTTCTCCTGTCTTCAAGACTTCAGCCCCTCGAAAACGAGCTGTAATTAGGTAACCTAGTTTGCATTATGAGTGAAGATAAAGTTTATTCCTTAATTTGCTACCAAACCACAGGCCTGTGCTACCTCACACATTGTTTTACATTTCCTTCAAAATCCTCTGACCAGAAAGTTCATTCTTCTCTTCTATTTTGTACTATTAGCAGCTCCTGAGTCACAGTACTTTGTGCTTTAAATGGTGCACATTGCTGCCTGCAGGAATGAAATCAGTAGTAAATTATTCATGTACATACTCCCCCCCCCCCCCCCCCCCCCCCCCCCCTTACAGTGCAGTCAGTCAAGTTTTAAGACATCAAGTTCTTTAGCCTCAGCTGCCCTAAATTTTATACTAACATTGCCGGTTTATTGATTTTTTTACATCAGTTTAACATTTGTCATTTTCTATAATGAAATAAAAGATATTCTAAGCAATACTTCGTTTATTAAAATGGAGAAAGAGGAAAACCAGAAGAATCACACAGTCACTGTAGATCAGACCATGCTGACCTAATTTTCCTGTAACACTCATGTGTTTAAGATGAACTATAGAAAACTAGAAATGTGACAGGAAATTCTAAAGGTAGAAATAAACAATTCTCTTGGTTGATCCTTGTATTGCTATTATTCAGATGGCTGCAGTTAAGGAAAAAAATGAAAGCATTGGAAGAATCTCCTCTTTGACTGTCCAACTGGAGTCAACTAAGAAAACACTCTGTGAAGTTAAAGAAGGTCTTAGAGCCAAACAGATCGATTTGGAGGCTGCTGAGAAAACCGTGTCGAATCTGACAGCCCGTCTACAGGCGAAGGAGGGAGCCCTTGAGGTTGCCGATAAGGAAATCAAGAAGCTGCATTCACAACTTGGCAGTACGGTGCAGGAACTCCAGCATCTAAAGAATGAAGAGGACCGTTTACACCATGTGCGGTCAGAGTGTGAAGCACTGAAAGTGCAGCTGGTAGAGAAGGAAAGGACTATTGAGATCTTCCAAAAGCAAATTGATAACATGACCCAGATTGTGGGCCAGCACAGTCGAACTACTGGAGCAATTGAAGTTGAGAAATCTCAGCTTATTAAAGAAGTAAATGACTGGAAACTCAAAGTAGAAGAACTTAAGGTGTGCAAATGATGCTGTATGTATGTCTCTAAGATGTTAAATGTTTTCTCGTTTTAAATGCTTACCTTCATGTGCTAATACTGTGGTTTTAAAGCAGGACAGACAATGCACCTTGAATCCTAACAGCACTAAAAGAGTTACTGAGCAGAGAAGAATAATATTATCACATTACCACCAGAAATGAGTAATTCACTGCAAAAAGCAGTTGCCAAAAGGCTTGAGAAAGCTGGAATGTAACATGCTGTCCTCGGTGATACATTGTCCACACCAGTAACAGAACCAGAAATACACAGTGTTACTGAGAAATAACAGACAGTGAGCACTCAGAATTCCCAGCTGAAGACACTGTTTATAACTGGTTATTTCTCAGGCAAGAATTAGAGGATATGGTAATCTTAGGCAGGTCAGCATCTTAAGAAAAAATGCATTCCAGATAGGGAATTTCATCCTCTTCTGTGGGAAGAGAGTTGAACATTCGGAGTGAATATGGAGGTACTGGTATAAGAGGATGGAAATCATTTTCATATCATACACCTGGTAAAGATAAACATGCTGTAAAGCCATCAGATCAGATTCTATTGCACTCTTTTTTATGGATTAGCAATTTTGACAAAAGTAATTTGTCTGCTTTACTCTCTTTCTTGCCCCAAACTGTGACAACTGAGATTTAAAGTAATGATGATGTCTGCACATCTTTTTGGTTATTTTATATAATTATGTATATTACACATAGTTACTATTGTTTTTTATGTAAGTAGATTACAAAGGATGAGAAAGAAGCCCGAATACATGAAACGGAGGCCAGACTGAGTGAACTGGAACTGCAGAAGGTTAAACTGGTTAACACATGCACTGAGAGGCTCCATGCACTTAATGATATGAAACTGGAAAAAGACCAGCTAATGAATGAACTCCAAGCCAGTCGGAGCAAGCTAGCTGGCCTTGCAGGTAGGGAGCCTCAACTCAGCTCAGCTCTGATAGCTGCTACATTGGGCTGATGTTAAAAATAAAAGAGCAGCTTGCTTGCTGAATCCAAATATGGCTGCTGGTACAGCAGAAGCTTCGCTGCCAGCACGTGATGGTCAGATTGCCTCAGACAGCTGTGTCATGATTTGGGATTCTGGCACAGTGTGATGGGAATACAATCTTTATGGCAGTCTGTCACTACCCTGAGCAAAAATACTTAAACCGCCTGACTCTGGAGACCAAGGAGGCAAATCTACTAAGTCACAGAATAAAAACTTGACCACTTTTTTCCTGAGGGTTATTTAAGAGCACTATAGTGGATGCCATTAACCATCTGTGCTCAAATTACAGCAAAACTTTGTTTCCGTTTTGTGTGGTTTTGCTACAATGATATTGAAAAGTTTTATGTTCTAACTCT